CCCCAAAACCCCAAAACCCCAAAACCCCAAAACCCCAAAACCCCTTTGGGAATATAAATATTGAACATGAAAAAATGGTTTTTTACAAAAACAAATAAGCATAGAGGAACTCCTAGCAAAGCCAATGCTGATCTAAACTGGTATAAAACATGTATTTTTACAGACTATTTAGCTTAGGAAACTTTAGTTTAGCTATCAGGAGGATAAATATGTGTGATAAACTCCTCAGACCCAAGCTCTAAGGGCTTAGATGAGCTTGAGAAATACCCATCACTCCTAAATTTAGCCAAACCTAAAATTCAATGACTCAAATAATTCTTTAGTGACTTGAAAGAGCATGATTATTGTCCATCAAGGGAGCACAGCCAGACCACCAAAGAGAAGATTTTCAAAAGTAAGCTTCCCTTTTTCAACCATAATTCTATAGATTTTGAGAAATATAAGCAACAGTCAAGAATCAAGGTGAGAACTACAAGTAATTGGAGCAAGAAGTGAGATTACTCCTCGACTTTATAGGCTAGCAATAAATGACAAATAAAAAGAAGCTCTTGCACACAAATCATCAGAGGTCCAATGCTGGCAACCAAAGTGATTATGGTATGGTCATCGCTCTCATTCTGGTATAGATAGATCAATTATTGAGGTAAAATAGTTTAATGAATCCCCTAGTTTAAGAAATTAGTTACTAAATCTGTCAAGAAATTACATAATTGGGACCAGAAGGACAGAAAAGCACCACAAAAACCTCTAAGGAATACTCCTCAGATCCTTGTGACTCCTAAGAAGAAGTATTTAAGGAAAGATATGATCAAAGTGTCAGTGGTGAACCCTTACAGTAATGCTCAGAAGAAACATTCTGTTAAGAAGAACTGGAAGAGTCTTCATTTGGTGTCTAATTGACAGCACCTCCCTCGGAGAAGGAGAAAAGGGAATAAGCAGAGTTTTATGATAACTCAGAAGGTTAATAATTTGTACTACTCTTCGTTACGGAAATAAAATTGCTAATAGCCACTCTACTCAGCAGAACAGCAGAGATCAGTCGTTTGAGGAATCTCCATATCGACTCGGTACTGTTAAGAACCGCGATCAGTCAAGACTCAGAGGGTCTGGAAAGCAGACCAGGCTCGTAAAGTATCTTACAGGTATGCTGAGTAATACATCAAATCCTCAATTCAGGAAAACTTTTAAGCAGATCCCAACTCCTGATGTTAAAAAGTGAATTAGTATTAAGCGAATCGAGAATGTGGTGCCTAAGACTCCTGAAGTCAGAAAGACCCAGTACGGCAATATGCTGTGAAAGAAAAAGGCTGATCCAGAATTTGCTCACCAGATCTTGAACATTAGTAACTCTGTCAATCTTACTAGTGGAAAGTTGTGGAAAGGTATGTCTAAATAGCAATTCTTTGAGAAATTTTACAGTTTTATTAAGTTCATTATCCCTTGTGAGTTAAACATTGCTGAAGATAACACAGCGCCTCTTCATTAGCAACTAGTGTTGGGAGTTCATAGGTTTAGGGGTGATCCAAGAACCATTTTTGCTGTAGTAAAGTGGTAAATCCTGTTTCTGTATCATGCTTTAGCCTAGATAGAGCATTCTCATTACTGGTGTGTGAGCCCCGCTTTCTTTCGTCTTTATTGTTCAGTATCTGCAATATCAGTCAATAAATTTATTTAACGTCAATTTTTGGTGTCCATAAAGTAAATTAGGCAAGGATATTAACCTAGAAAGAGACCATGAGCAGATAGAAGAATCAGATGTCTGTCCAAAAGATGACGACTCAATCATAACATTTGAGTAGATGAAGAAGCAATGTTAAAGCTCTTTTGAAATCTGGTTTGGTAGGGTCTAATTGAGACATTAAATTCCCGAGAGAACGTAAACACTTTTTTTATACCTCAATTCGATACTCTCAAGTTGGGGTTTTGGGGTTTTGGGGTTTTGGGGTTTTGGGG